TGTGTGTGTGTGTGTGTGTGTGTGTGTGTGTGTGTGTGTGTGTGTGTGTGTGTGTGTGTGTGTGTGTGTGTGTGTGTGTGTGTGTTTCTTTGACCTCTCATAGAATCCAGCTGATTTATAGAATTCTCCATTAGTTATGTAATTTGCTTCTTATTTATATAATCATATGCTTATTTTCAAGATTTAAAAAAAACTATTTGAGCCCTAGCCTTAGACACCAATTGCCCATGAGCCCAAAATCTATCTACCACTTAATAATCACGACCCTGGTGTATCCAGAACGTAAGATATCAAAACCAGAGCTTCTGCTGCAGTATCATAACCCCCGCTAGGGGGTCCAAAATGTAATTACCTCCATGAAAAATGGAGGTATTGTTTTTGGCGGCGTCTGTCTGTGTGTCTGTGTGTGTGTGTGTGTGTCTGTGTGTCTGTGTGTCTGTGTGTGTGTCTGTGTGTGTTTCCGCAACTTTGTAGTCAGCATAACTTCATAACGCCTTTATGGATTGTGATGATATTTGGTATGCTGATAAGTCTTAGGAAGACAAAGCTCAAGGTCAAATATGGGCCTCCTGGTGTATGACCTTGGTACTGCAGCAGAACCCGGTTTTTGTATCTTTGGTCCTGAACATGCTATGGTCTTGAATTTTTGGTGACAGATAGCTTTTCCTGTCAGGAATAAGTGGTGTGGGTTTGGTCCCCCTAGCAGCTTGTTCAGGAACTGCAGGGGACTTTCGGGCGAAATCTTTGAAAGCCAATAAGTCCAGATAGGAACAGCGTATTTTCATCATTTTTGGTGTGTAGGTATCTGACAGAGAGATGTACATAATTAACTGCAAATTATGCAAATGAGGACTTGATTTGCATAATTAATGAGGAAATTCTATAATTACAGTGTTTTACATTATAGAACTTTCATACATGTAATGTATGTAACCTATGGCAGATGGAACATCAACAGATACTAATTATGCAAATGATGACCTAATTTGCATAATTAATGCAAAAAATCTATGATTTCTCAATGGTAAATGATGGGAATATCATACTTGGGACATCTTTAAGTTAATCAAAAGTTAACATCACGATGCATATATTATGTTAATGCAGAGGTTATTTGCGTAATTAAAGAAGAAATTTACATTTACATATCAAGCCCATATTTCATGGAGGTATGAGATCTCGGAACTCTTGTTATTTGTATGTGTGTAGATAGATAGATAGATAGACAGACAGACAGACAGATGACCAGTGACACCTGTGCTGTGCAATGTGAACCAGTCAGTCATACTTGCCCCGAGGAACTTGACAGACGGTCACTGTAACGCTGTATGAATAAAAGACTTGGCTGTGTAAAGAGAGAGAGAGAGAGAGAGTGAGTGTGTGTGTGTGTGTGTGTGTGTGTGTGTGTGTGTGTGTGTGTGTGCGTGTGTGTGTGTGCGTGCGTGTGTGTGTGTGTGTGTGTGTGTGTGTGTGTGTATGTGTGTGTGTTTGTGTGTGTCTGTGTGTGTGTGTATGTTTGTGTGTGTGTGTCAGTGTGTGTGTATCGTGTGTGTGTATCGTGTGTGTGTGTGTGCGTGTGTGGGTGTGTGTGGGTATGTGCGTGTGTGTGCTTGTGTGAGAGTGTGTGTGTGTGTGAGAGTATGTGCGTGCAAGTGTGTGTGTGTGTTTGTGTGTGTGTGTGTGTGTTTGTGTCTGTGTGTGTGCATGCATATCGGCTGGGGTAAAGTAGGTCATAACAAATATAGCCTGCACTGCAATACCAACTGTTCCTGAAAGGGGGCAGCACAGTTCTTTTGTCCCCAATCGTCTTGTTTATTTGGTTGCATGAAATTGCTAGACAATTTTAACTTTTTTTAAATTCTAACTGGCAATTCTCATCTTTGATCATTTTGTTTCCTGAAAGAGAGTAATACGTTACATTTGTATCTCAGGTATGTCAAATGTTTTATGTATAAGTAGACTCTTCCAACCATTCTTCTGTCTTGTTTTAGGAAAGGGCATGAGCGGGACGTTCCGATTGGTGGAGAGCTACAAACCGAAGAAGCCGATGGAGACTATGATCGGGGTGGCTATCAAGGCAGTCAACGAGCCGAAAGAGGCTTCGGTGAGATAAAGTGAAAGTTAAAGCCCTCTGGCATTAAAACCATTAGCAGTGCCCATCTCCGTTTCTTAGGCCTTGGGCCACACAATTGTGCAATCAGTCATCTTTCCTTATATTGTTGTTGTATCCAATTCCCATATTATCTGCCTACAAAGGTCAATTTCTGTATACCTCATTCCACAAGTAAGACCAAACCATCAATACATGACCGTATTGTAGCACATATATTGTTATCGATAGTGGTAATTTTAAGATAGTTCAGTTTTGTGGTATTGTTGTCTTACTGCCACAAGTTGTACAACTATGTGATTGTTGAGCAATAAAGTTTATTCATTTATTTATTCTTTGCAAAATCCATTAATAGGATGTTCCGCTTTTCTCTCCCAGGTTGGCATGATCAAGAAATACATCCGAGAACACTACCCGACACTGGACATCGAGAACCGAATGTTCCTTCTGAAGAGAGCGCTGGAAAAGGGAGTCAAGAATGGAGAACTGGAACAGATCACCGGGAAGGGGGCCTCTGGTCAGACGTTCTTCTACAGTATTGTTATAGGCTTGACT